TCATGCCCCTTTTTGTTTGGAAATAAACCTAAAGTAAATATATTACTAGAGGTGCTAATGACATGAAATTTTCACCAGATGTCGGTAACAACCCAAGTGATCCATACATACAAAGAAATCAAAAGCGTTACAAGTGACCTTACATGTATGTGTGGGAACAAAGTGGTTAAAACTGAACACATATGTGCTGGTGTTTTACTTCTTTTTGATTTTTACATTCATGCCCCTTTTTGTTTGGAAATAAACCTAAAGAAAAAATGTTTATGAACTAAAAAAAAAAAACCCAACAACTACATACCACAGTTTCTCTCATCCAGTCCGTTGGAACAGTCCTTRATTCCATCACACAAAGGAACACAGAGGCCACTTACAGTGCACAGGAACTGGCCTGGACAAGCTGAACATATATGTTTGTTTGTTTTTTAATACAAMGGTCTTCATATCAAACTGGATTTYTTGACTGTCTCGCCTGCGTGCACAACTTACGGTCTGACAGGTTGAAGGTGCTGTAGTGCAGCTGAAGGCCCGGCCCTGTGAGGGACACCTCAGAGGTCATGACCACAGTGGTTGTATTTGAGAGCAGAAAGAGGCGCTCGCAGTACGTCTGCAGAGCCCTGGTGCCACACAGCCTGGGAAGAGGAGCAGACACACAAGTTTAGCAGAAAAGTATGTTTTCATGCAGACAGAGCTACACAAATGCTAAAGCTGATGTTTCAAGACAAATAGTTTGAAAGCGTCTCACAATAATTTTCAAATTTATTTAGGCTCATATTGTTGTTGATGTTTTTTTTTCTGCTTCCTCAGCGAGCGAACAGGCGTGAAATAATTGTGCCTGCTGCAGCTCCTGATGCAACCATGGCTCAAACCTGCAGCCTCACAAGACTGCAGCACAAACAAATGAGCTACCACAGGCCCCATTTTAAAAATACACTAATATCTATACATTGAAATTAAAATGGCAGGTAGGGTAGGAGAGTCATCAAATGAGACAATGCTGCCCCCTSCTGCTCAGTCTAATATAGATTTTGTTTTGTCAAGTCAACTGCAGTGTTTTCTGACTTACCATTAGAGCAAGTGAAAWATACTTTCTGACCTGAACAAAAAAGAAAAGTGTATCTGAGTTTGTTTCACAAACGATTTCAAAGTCAAACAGGAGATTTGAACTATAGTCACTCATCGAGCCAGTCCTTACGTTCAATATCTTGTCACCATATACCGTCCTTACAACAACAAACAAACAAACAAACAAACCTCACCAGTGTCATCAAACCTAAACTTATTGATACCCCTCAAATGCATCTCACAGAACTTTATAGTTGTGCAGTAAAGAAAAGCAAGCTGGCAAGCCTGGACCCTTCACAARCCCTTCACCATTCCTTTCAACTTCTACCTTCAGGAAAATGTTTTAATGTTCCCCTGGCAAAGAAAATTAAATATGTATAAAAGCTCTTTTATCTCCACTGCAATCAGCCTTTTAAATAAAGGGGGAAATTAGTAGATTTTCAAATGGTATGGTTTTATGAGTAAGTTTTTTTTTAGGTAATTTATGTTTTAAGTGGTGTGTGGGGTAGGGGTTATGTGCGATTTGATTTATTGTGTGTTTTAATGTGTCTGAGCCTTTATCATAAAGTCCAAAGACAAATTTCTGTTACAACTTGTGGTTGACAAAAAGTTTTGTGAATCTTAAAACCTTACAGACATGAGGAAATCACTCTGCCCAGAGCCCTAAATAGGATCTTTGCAATCTATCTGAACAAAGGTTTTTATACTCATACAATATTAATAACCAAACATATTGATTACATTTAATTTCAGTCTGTTGTGCATTGTTTTTTTTTTGTCTGAGTGATTTGATGCAACACCTTGGTTTTATAAAAGTAAACAAACTTAAGTATAGTAGCCTACCACAAAAGTTTTTTTTTTCATTTAGACATTTTGTGTTTCATTTTTACGGAGCCCGCGAGGGGACATGGGAGATTTAATTTATTTTGCGTTCCCACGCAATAGTAGGCCTATTGCGTTACCTCGCAATACTTTTGCGTTACCTTGCAATACTTTTGCATTACCTCGCAAAATTGTTTTGCATTCCCACGCAAAAGATTGT